TGGCGGAGGAGGGGAGCGGCGAGAGACTGGCGGCGGAGGGGAGCGGCGAGAGACTGGCGGAGGAGGGGAGCGGCGAGAGACTGGCGGCGGAGGGGAGCGGCGAGAGACTGGCGGAGGAGGGGAGCGGCGAGAGACTGGCGGCGGAGGGGAGCGGCGAGAGACTGGAGGCGGAGGAGAGCGGCGAGAGACTGGAGGCGGAAGGGAGCGGTGAGAGACTGGCGGCGGAGGGGAGCGGCGAGAGACAGGCGGAGGAAGGGAGCGGCGAGAGACTGGCGGCGGAAGGGAGCGGCGAGAGACTGGCGGCGGAGGGGAGCGGCGAGAGACTGGCGGCGGAGGGGAGCGGCGAGAGACTGGCGTACGCCGCGCCGGAGCTCGCGTGCGGCGAGACACTGGACGTGTACGTCGTGCCGACGACGTGCGCCGTGCGGCCGAGCTCGTTCTGGTGCCAGCTGGCGTCGTCCACCGTTGCCCTGCCCGCGCTCGCGGACCAGCTGCAAGACCACTGCGGCAGCGGCGGCGCGGACGTCCTCGACGAGCCGGCCGCCGGACGCGCGTGCGTCGCCCCCTACGAGGAGGACGGGCGGGAGCAGGACGTGTGGTGAGCGACGCGGGGGGGAGGATGGGGTTTGGGGTTGTAGCAGTACGTGTGGCAAGTGACTTGAGAGTGCAGGAAGGGAATATAAGATATCACACATCATGCTCTGTCGTCGGTCAGGTATCGTGCTCTTATATAATGTATCGTGCTCTTATATAATGTATCGTGCTTGTATATCATGTATCATGCTGTGTTGTCGGTCAGGTATCGTGCTGTTATATAATGTATCATGCTCTTATATTGTGTATCATGCTGTGTCGTCGGTCAGGTATCGTGCCGTCGTGTCGTCGGTCAGCGATGGGATCGCCGAGGTGTGCTTCATCGACTACGGCAACTCGGGCCGCGTGTCCGTCCACCACCTAGACCTTCCCCGGGACACGCCGTACGGACGAGATCCGGCTACTTCTTCCGACGAGCCGAGGCGCCTGGAGGTCGCGTCGGACGTCCACCTGCCCAACGACTCGTTCGACAACGACGACGACCTCCTCGCTCGCGACGCGGTCGAATCGGACGCGGCGTACTTCGATGTGGCACCGGAGAGGACCGAAGAACCTGCGGAGCGACTCGGCGAGGCGGACGGAGAGAAGGAACGCGGCGAAGAGGCGGAGCGAGGCGCGGGGACCGAGTCGGGCGTCGTCGCAGTTGAGACGCGAGACGAGTCGCGAGACGAGTCGGACGAGGACGTGTTCCACAGTGATTTCGGATCGGATGCGGAGAGTACTGGGAAAAACGACTTTGAGGTCGCTAGGGAAAACCAGGACGAAGAGATGGAGGCGAGACAGGATGAGACAGAAGCGAGACGGGATGAAGAGGCGGAGGCGAGACAGGATGAGACAGAAGCGAGACGGGATGAAGAGGCGGAGGCGAGACAGGATGAGACAGAGGCGAGACAGGATGAAGAGACCGAGTCGCGACAGGACGAAGAGACCGAGGCGAGACAGGACGAAGAAACCGAGGCGAGACGGGATGAAGAAACCGAGCCGAGACGGGACGAAGCAGCGGCAGAGCTACCGGACGATGTAGCGGCAGAGCTACCGGACGATGTAGCGGCAGAGCTACGGGATGATGTAGCGGCAGAGCTACCGGACGATGTAGCGGCAGAGCTACGGGATGATGTAGTGGCAGAGCTACGGGACGA